CCAGCCGAACCTCCAGCCAAGGAGGCAAACGCCACAGAGGCACCAAGCAAGGATCAAACCGTAGCAGTTCAAGATTAAAGGACAGCTTCTTTTCGGAAATGAGAAAAAGTACCTAACTCAATGACGACAAAGATAAAAATGCAAATGAAATTAACTAGCCTGCCCATATTCTGATAATAACAATAACAATAATAATTGTAATGATGATGATTTGTTTATTGAGGAGGACTGGAGCAACCACCTGGAGAAGTTTCCCAATGCTGCAGAAGGTTATTGCTATTATTATTGTTATCCTTTGTTTTGTTTTTTTTTCTGCTGTAGTATTTAAACTTTGATACGAGTCTCTGTCGGCCATACACCACATTCCACATCCATCATCCCTCTCCCTCATACGGTCAAGAGGTTTACCCCGACCCCATCTGGCCCACGGGAGGCCTGTGTTCATACACTCTCTTGCACCCTTTGCTTTGTGCAGGCCAGAAAACCTAAACCTGGGAAAGTATTCTGAGGGAAGGCGGGGGACGGGTTAAGAAATTACTTTACCAGCTGGCCCTGCACTGAATACATCCACTGTTCAGCTCTCTCCCTTCCACTCATCCTCAGAGTGCCCTCAGCTTTCTTAGCCCTACTTTGGTACCTCTAGAGTTTTGGTGCCACGGAGGTTTAACCCATCCTCCCTCCCCAGCTTTTTTGTATTATCGGATTGTGTTGCCATCCATTTAACACTTGTGTTGTTTTTTTTTAATGGCCAAACCTGACGAGAAAATCTAAAGGCATTTCTTGTGAGGACTGGGAATGCTCGTACTTTCTAGGACATGTCAGAGGTTGACAAAGGCTGCCTTTTCAGAACAAGATACATTATTAGACACAAAACAGTCGTAGGAATTTTTCAGAAACCTAGATTTTGTACTGAAACCCTTAGGTATATTGTAAGTGAACCAAGTGGTTTTTTAACATTTGTAATATGCTTATAAAATCTGCAAAGCCTCACTGAAATTATCTCTAGTGTTCTTAGAAAGTGTGATGGAAATCTCTGCTCCTCCATCCAAATTCTTACAAAGTATAAGACTTTTGCTTTTAAAGGACATATCTACTGCTGACCTGGGTGCAACAGGCTTTACAATCACAGCTTAGAGATAGTTTGAACTGGCTGACGATACCAAGAAGGCTAGGACCACTGCGTCATCAGGAGAGTTCAGATAGTGTCAGTTCAGTTGTGTCTGCCAAAAGAAAGTAGACTAAACCGACTCTTCAGTTTCCGGACTGTGTCGCTGGAAGTGGAACCCTTCACTTACTCAAGTGTCAATATCAAACAATACAGTTACACCCTTTGAGTAGAAGTCCTAGATTCAACTTAAGAATTAGTACCAATATATATAAGTAGTCTCCAAAATGCCAATGTGGAATTTAATTTGGGTATAGAATAAGAAAGGTTTTTGGAAATTCTCTTGTTACCAGATCGGCTCATATATAGATGGAAACTACTACTAACTCTCTGTCTATATCTTCTGAGATTATAAAATTTGAAATTTTTGCCTGGTAGTTTTATGCTCAGCCATAATGATTCTGTAAACTAAGGCAAACTAATCACGTGGAGGAACGTGCTGCCGTAACAATAAAGAGGAAAAATCTGATGCAAAAACATTAGTTCTCTGCAACCACTAGATCCATTTTAAATTGGCATAAACCCTGAAAGTTGCATGTGATTAAACAGGAACATCAGCAAAGCAGTCTGTCCCAATGTTTCTATGGCAACTAGGGTTGTCGCTTTTTATTCGAACATTCATTCGATTATGGTGGGAAAAAAACAACAAACAACTATTCGAACTATAACGACCTATTGGAATCCAGTCATGTACGCTATGTCAATAAGCGCAGTAGGCCGTTTAATGTAATTTGCCTTGCGGTCCAGCAGAGGACACTCTTAAAATTCACTATCAGCTTGACCAGTTCCAGTCCTGTTGAGCTCTCGGTAAAAAGAGCTACAATGTTATGTCTGCAAGGACAAAATGCAGGATAGTAGCAAAGCTGTGCTGATCTGACAGTAATGACACCGGAGCTAAAGTAAAACAGTTTCTTGACTGTAAAAAAGCAGACGCCTGCTCAAGTACGACAACACACCTGAGGACTCACCTGTAGTCTCGCTCTCCAAGTGAGGCATCGTAGTTAACATTACTGTCCTGCAGCCTCACCCGACCGTCCTGCCCCTGCAGCTGACTTACCCTGAAGAAGACCACTGGGTCAAAATGTTAGCTACACATTCTAAATACATCATGGAAGCGCTCAGTGCGCGGCCATCCCTTGCGCCGTATCATGAAACCTTAGCTAAGCTCTCCCGACATAGCTCATAAATCAGCCAAAGCAGCGAGAGCTACACTTTTTAGTTTTTATTTTTGGCGGGGGCTTGCATTAAAATGAATCTGAATGAATTTCACGTCAGCTCGAACATGACTTTTGGAAAAAAGTGACAGCCCTGATGGCAACCATATGCCATGCTATCACATTAAAGGGCGCCTCTGATTTTGTCATTCTCACGCCTCATGCATTTTCTTTTACTTTTCAGAAATATATATTACATATAAGCACATATATGCAGTGGTGGAATTCAGTACCTGCAGCTATACTCAAGTAAAAGTAGCAATATTACTGTGGAAAGATACATTGCAACTAAAGTCTTTTTACTTAAATGTAAGTATTCAATAAGAAAGGAGGAAGCGCTTAAGCATTGAATGTATACATACAGTACCATTAGTAAGAAAGGAAATTTGCATCTATTTCTGTGATCTTTGGTGATGTTCATGATTTATATAAGCCGATAAACAGAAGAAATGTCAGACTGAAAGAAAAGGAAAGAGGGAATACAGAAAAATAATAAAAGGACAAGAAATACAAGTGATATTTTATTATTTTAAATGACGTTTTCACATACAGTAACTACAGCGGAGGAAGCTCTACAGAATTTTCCTCTGAAGTGTGCAGGAATAAAGACAAAGAAATACCAGCACCCCCAAAATTGCACTTTCATACTTTCCACCCTTTCATATATGTATATATATGTTTATATATTTATTCATCTCAGCCAACATTTGAGTTGCATCCATCAAACACACAAGGTTTTCCTCCTAGCACTTGTCAAACCGTAGCAGAAACAAACTCTCGAGGAGCATTGTGTGTCACTCGGTTCAGTTTCTCTTCTTCTCTCGACTCAGTAATTTGCATGTCCGTGGTTGGGTGAACCTGTATTCCTGTCTTTTTGGTCAAGTGAAGAAAAAAAAAACAAAAAAACAAACAAACAAAAAAAATCTTTGCAGTCTGCATCCATGGCAACTACAGTTTATATTTTCATCCCATGTCTCAACCATTGCTATTTCCACACCACACGTTCTTTCAAACAAACAAAAAGATGATATGGAAATTGATGCATTCGACATTATATGTACTTGTATAAATGGTGCAACAGTAATAAAATGTAAGAAATTGACTGAAACTTGAGGATTTTGTTGAAGTCAACTTTGTCGTGCTCTCTAGACAAGTGACAATGAGTCAACATCAAAATGTTATTTACCTGCTGAGTACACACGTCAGGGTCAGGTCACAGACACCAAGGACGTGTCTCTGGGAATCTGAGGAAGAGGTTTATAATACATATGACCTAAATTACACCTGGAGTGTTCAAAGGCTGATTGGACTATTTGGTGGAGTCACTATTCTTAAATTTGATTGTAGGAGACTGTCCTGCAAAAAACGACTGTATACGTCATAAGCGCCAGCGGGTTATTACAACCATTACATGTTATAGTTTAACAACGTCTGGTAACCACAGTAATGATGACACCAGAAAACGAGTAAGTAACATGACGTAGTATATAGCGGCACAGAGTGCTCATTAGGAGGAGGCTGGTGTGGATGGCCAGGTACATAAACCACAGGGCTTTCCCCCAAGTGAGCACAGTTCAATGCCAGCGTGTGACCAACAGCTCCACCTCAGCTTACCACATGAAAATAAAACATTGACGAGGACAGAGGAACAGGACAGAAATGAAGGAGTGGAGTGTAGCCAAGTGGCAATGATTGATGTCCTTATCACTTCCTCTTTCTCCACACCCTCCCTCCTCTCGGGGGGGCAGTGAACCAAGGACTTCATCTCACTGCTGTGATTTACAGCTGTTCAAACAGTGGTGATTTCACCTGTAATACCTTCCCCATGCCTTTACTCGGGCCACGATGACACTGGATAGCATGTACAGATGCTGGATGGGAGGGATCCCGTGGATCTACAGGGCTTCACCATGTAAAACTCCAGATAAAGCCGCTTCTTTAAACATGTGCCACATGAAGAAATGGATTTGTTTTGCTTTAACTAACTACCAGAATCAACCTAGTTTAGTTGAATCAGGTATATTATTATTTCACAGATTTGTTAGCAGGGGTTGAAAGAGTAGAAGAATATTTTACTTCTCTACATGAATGGGTACAATACTTTATTACACTTTTAAGAAAAAAGTGACATCTATACAAAACTTTTCATATAAAATTTTATTTAAAAGTGCAGCTAAATGAGTCAATAAATGTGCGTAAAGGGGTATAGATGTAATCTTGTGTTTTAATAATACTTGGCAATAAATTTTGATTGATCTTTCTTAGTAAACTCAGAAAGGACAAACAAATATTAAAAGGACCCTGAGCTCCTAGTTTTATTAGTAACGATGAGTTGTCAGTGTTGTGTTGACGGTGTGTTCCTGTGCCTCCAACTGGGAGGAAAAACAATGAATGCAGCTGTAAATACTCCTAATTACAAAAGTTATAGTATGTCTAAATAGCATAGCCAAGTGCACGTAGGTAGTCAAGCATATGTCACTTTGTACTAATTGTT